CTTAAGATTCTGAATAGTTCCAGAAAGAAGTCAGAGACATGATGACATCTGTTACTGAAAAGAAGTGAAAGCACTGGGTGGCATTTCCATTCATTTTTCAAATGGCTTTCAATACTGGTGCATATCCCTGTCAGGCCATGCTAGGTTACTAAAATCCAGAGAGGAACCTGAAGTCTCTTTGCCTTGAAGACACAAAGGACTAGTTCAGGAAAATACAGAAACTGAAAAGTGAAGGGTGAAACCTTGGAAAAAAGAAAGAGCCCTACCTTTTGTGTGGAATCCTAGTATGTGCTGCAGGATAATGCACTGAACTGCAAGGTTGGTTTGAACCACAGAGTTGGCAGTTCACACCCATCAGTCACCCCTTAGACACTGGTACTTAGCAACAACAACCTCTTGTGTATAAACTCTGCTCAACTCTATGGCCAATCCCTAAACTGTGGAAGTGCAGGGTAGACTTCACCTAGCCCAGCTTTGACAAAAACAAACTGAACAGATATTATAGAGTTTGGAATTTGAGTTCAGCCATGAAACAAAGGATCAGTTCTACTATTTTGTGGAATATAACAGAATTCAGAATGTCCACAATATATTAATCATAAAGTAAAGAATACAATTCAAATTTACTGAACATATGAAGAAACAGGAAAATCTGATCCATACTGTAGAAAAAATACCTAATGAAGATCAACTCTGAGGTGGAATAGACTGGGAACTAGAAGACAAGGATTTTATGAATTAATTATAACTATATTCCAAATTGGAGTCCTGGTGTGGCACTGCGGGTTAATACGCCAGACTGCAAAGCCGTTTGAACTGCAAGGTAAGCGGCTCAAACTCACCAGCTGCTCCTTGAAAGCCCTATACAGGGTCGCTATGGGTCAAAATCAACTCGACGGCACCCAACAACAACAATATCCCAAATTATGAGAAAAATAGGAGGGATAAGGCAATAAATGACAGCTAACATATACTCTCCATTAAATAAAATACTATCTTATTAAAATAGTTGTGATAGAGAATAGCTTGATTATGTATGCTCAAAACAAGCAATGAATTCAAACATGTTCTGTAAGTTATTTATTCATGATAAATAAACATTAAGAGAGTACCCTTTAAGGTCTATGTAGACAAAACCTTAAATTTCATTTTAACTTAAAAACTAAATAAAAATACAAGATGAAAAATAATACATAGACAGCAATCACAGTACTTTTAAACAGTTCCAGAAGTGGAAACTGACTTCAAGATTTTAGGAGGAAGGATAAAAGTGAAAACTTTAAGAAATGATAGATGAAACATACATTGAAAGATGCTTATATTTGTGCATTTGGACATGGGAATACAGGTAAGCAGTCAACTGTGCAAAGACAGACAGTGAAAAATGTTTTCAATATACTGAAAATGAAGTAGTTATATTTGACAGACAGATAAAATTTTTTTAAGAGTTGTTACATGCCGTTGACTTGGTTCTGATTCATAATGATCCTACAATCCTGCGGAGGGCTTCCAAATAGTGGCTGGTGGGTTTGAACCATCAACCTTGTGGTTAGCAGTTCAGTGCTTATCCTGTTACAGTGCAATAGAGTTATGGGAGGTAAATTAAGAAGAATGGATGGGCCAAAAGTAATGTAGGCTTTCCATGCAAGACTAAATAGTTTAGACTTCCTTATGAAAGTACGAGGGTCCCAAATAAAAGATTCTATATAAAAATATTTTAAAGAAATTTCCTTAAAAACCTTAGAAATCCAGAGAAGATTTCTATTGTTTATTGTTTGTGATTCTTATATTACTTAAAATAGAATAAAAACTCAATAGCTATTATAAATTGGTGCAGGTTCCTCTGTACTGTAAAGAACTATCACAAGAGATGTTTGAACAAGAAAAGATCTAGGGCGTTGGTGAGTTCTGATCGCGCGGTATCCATCGCCACCCACGTCTCATGGGCAACTGAGGGACGGAGGCCTAGGAGAGGTGCAGACATGGCCAAGTCCAAGAACCACACCATGCACAACCAGTCCCAAAAATGGCACTGAAATGGTATCAAGAAACCCCGATCACAATGATATGAGTCTCTCAAGGGGGTGGACCCCAAGTTTCTGAGGAACATGCTCTTTGCCAAGAAGCACAACAAGAAGGGCCTGAAGAAGATGCAGGCCAACAATGCCAAGGCCATGGATGCACGTGCCGAGGCTATCAAGGCTCTCATAAAGCCCAAGAAGATCAAGCCTAAGATCCCAAGGGGTGTCAACCACAAGCTCAGTCGACTGGGAAGTGTGCTCAGGCACGCATTGCCAAGGGTCTGAGTCTCTGTCGGCCAAAGTCCAAGGCCAGTGCTAAAACTAAGGCTGAAGCTTCAACCAAGGTCTCAACTAAAGCTCCAGTCAAGGCCTCAGCTAAAGCTCTAGCCAAGGCCTCAACTAAACCCCAGCCAAGGCCTCAACTAAAGCCCCAGCCAAGGCTTCAACTCCAGCCCCAGCCAAGGCCTCACCTCAGGCTCCCAAAGGTGTCCAGGCCCCCACAAAGATGGAATAGAGTTCTCCGTCTGAGGACAGAGGGATTGGCATGACCCTTTGGGCTGCCATCTGTATGGAGCTGGTGTCCTCCTGTGCTGTTTGTACATTTGTACAAATAAATATGAGGCAGGAAAAAAAAAAAATGAAAGAAAAGATGGAAAAAATATGTTATAGAATTACTTAATTACTTAGATTAGTGGTTACAAGATATATTTAAGTATTTATGGTTTGAAACAAAATATGATTTGTTAAGTATAAAACTGATGATCTGGCCTGTAAACTACCACTCAATTCACAATAAAAGCTTTGAAACAAAAATGAATTTATAGTTTGATGAAATATTTTATTACACTATTTGAGAGTTCACCTCTTCCAATTTTAAATTAATATTCACAAATTAAAATTCCTCCAGAATATACAAATTAAAATTAAGTGACATTACATTTTCATAAACTGTTGAATACTTCTTTGCTAAATCTTTTTTTATTATCCCTTTCAATAAGTAAATTCAAGAGATTCTGTTTTCTATTAAAAGGTAGTTATAAAGTTACAATGATTTTTTTTAATGCTGATAGTAAAAGATATGATATGACACGATTATCTTAATGTCTAATTCCAAATATGAAAATAAGTCTTTTGTGAGTAATATGATTTTATAATATTTCAATTGCTTATACTCTGGAATCATTTATTAGGAATATTTTTAGTTTTTATGATCTCGGTATGTAATGCCATCAGATTAGCTCAGAAAAGGAAGGACAAAGAGCTAGTATTACTCACTTCTTTAATGAATGGCATCAAGGAAAGTAACGTACACATTTGACTATAGGCACATGTCATTGAATATAAATTTAACAATTGTTATTTGCTTGGCTCTAAATGTTAATGTAACACCCAATATTATTTTTTTCCCTAAATTTGTTTCACAGAATGAATGGTGCCCACCTAACACTCCTGAAAGAATATACCTTTGTATGCACCTAGATATTTCTTATATTCTGTAATTCCATAAAGTGCTTTTTATTGAGAAATTCCCTTCAATGGTCTTATATAATGTTCTACATAAATAAGCCCATTTTAGTTGTCAGTCTCTCTAAGATAAAGTTTCCAGTGATCAAAAATGGGGGTGTTGTTGAGTACAATCAAGTCAGTTTTGATTCATTGTGACTTCATATAGGGTGTCCAAGGATTGGCTGGTGGATTTGAACCGTCAAACTTGTGGTTAGCTGTCCAGAGCTTTTCCAACAGAGTACTCCAAAAATAGGGCTGGGATAGAGAAATCCTGTGACTTTCTTTGAAAAGGGAAAATTAATCCAACAAATTCTAGCATTATCATTGAATATCCTCTTATTTATTGACTTTATGATATTGGTGGTGGTGGTCATGTGCTGCGGAATACGTTCCAACTCATAGAGACCCTGCATAGGGTTTCCGAGGCTATATATCTTTATGGAGCAGAAAGACTCATCTTTTTCCCATGGAATCACTATTAGTCTCAATCTGCTGACCTTGCGATTAGCAACACGACTCAATTTATATTTTATTTTGTTTGGGTCTCGTGTCAGACTTGAGCATTCTATAAATCAGACATTTTTGTAACTTTTCTTGGTATCTCTATCCAGAAGTTTATATATATATATATATATAGCTTCAAGCCCATTGCTGTTGAGTCAGAATTGTCTCAACATGTACAGCATAAAACTACTCTATATGGTTTTCAAAGCTATTATCTTTCAAAAGCAAATCACCTGCCCTTACTTCAAAGACACTTCTGGATGGATTGGAAACACCAACTTACTTGAGTATTTAGCCTTATATGCTACCCAGGGATTTTTTATAAAATCATTTTTACCTAAATTCCCTGAGAGTCATGTACAAATAATTTTGTTCCTTTGTTCAATTATTTCTTTAGGTTCTCTTTAAAACAATTATTGCCATTATAAACCATACAACAAGGAAATCATTACAAATTGATACCAATTCATGATCAATACCATGAGACATTCTATGATTGTATAAAGCTCTATTTCTTTCCAACTCATATATAAACTTCTATCAGTCATCTCTTTCATAAAATATCAGATCATATGATTGTGAAGAACATATAGAATATTTACAACAGTTTTTACAGACTAGTCAATGATTAAATGCAGACAATTTACTGATATTTCTATCTTCTCCATTTCTGGTAGCTGAGAAGTTATTATAAAACATAGGATTTGAGACTTAAATGCCTAAACTTTAGACATTCTAGACCAACTACTTTCAATATTTAGGCAAAGAAATTGATAAAGTCTTCTCATCCCCTTCTTTTCACATATTCTGGGTATATATATATGTCTTCAAATTTTAGAAAATCCCATAGTCCTTCTTGATTTTGCTTATAAGTTAAATCAAACTCAAACTGGCTTACAGATGAACATGCAAAGCAATCTGTTGCACATGCATTCATTTCTAACTGAATGAAAACATTAGTCCAGGAGCTTATCTTCTAAAGGTTGTAATGAATTTGAATTGGTATCTCAGTTTATTTATCAACATCTCCCGAAAATGATCTCCCATAAGGAAATAGAAGACAGGGTTGATGACACTGTTCATGAAGGCCAAAGGTCGCGTCACAATGTATAAGACATTGATGAAGTCCTTGGTGCACTGGGACAATTTCCAACTATCCAGACGTGAAGCAATCCTCACATTCCGCATAATGTGGTAAGGAGTAAAAAGCACTGAGAAAATGATCACTGCCATGGTGACTAAGTTGAGAGGCTTTTCAAAGGGCAGTGTGGTAGCAAGCTGCCTGTTCCTCTGCTTTAGAAAGCGAGCAATCTTGAAATAAAAAAAGCACATCACAGAAAGAGGAATGAGGAACCCTATGAATGTTAAACATAAGCTGTAAATGAGATTGTATTTGGCATCCCCAGAACTTGCATAATCATTACACTTGGTGCTATTCTCATACCTGTGTATAAAACTAAGTATGGGCAGTAGCTCTAAGGTTACCAGAACCCAAATGGCTAAGGAGATTAAAATGGCAAACTCTTTCTTCTGCAGAAAGTGTTGCCGGAATGGATGCTTCATGAGCAAGTAGCGATCGATGCTGATACAAGTGAGGAAAAGAATGCTGGTGTAGAGGTTGGCATGAAGAACATATCTGTTACTTATGCAGAAAAAATATCCATATAACCAGGCTTCATTGGCATAACTTCTCATCAGCATTGGAAGGGTGCACAAAAAAGCCAAATCAGAAAAAGAAAGGTTAAAGAGATAGATATTGCTGCTATTCCAGTTCTTTAGACAGAAAAGGTAGCCATAAACTACAATAGTATTTCCAAGAATTCCGAGAACAAACTCAGCTCCATAAAAAAAGGAAAGGTAGTACTTTTCCATGGTAACTGTGGCTGCCAACAAGTTTCCGCAAGTTGCATTCCATGCCTAGAGAAAAAAGAGATAACAAGAGTGATGACACACTAGACTGTGACTAAGGACAAACTGTGTATTGTTATAGAATATAGTAATAATAAAAACACTTTGATTTTGTACTGTGAAGAGCAGGTCATATCAGTGAAGAATTATTATTATTATTAAGTGCCATAGAGTTGGTTCCTACTCATAGCGTCTCTGTACGGGGTTTCCAAGGAACGACTGGTGCGTTTGAACCATCATCCTTGTTGTTAGCAGTCCAGTGATTATCCTATGGTGTCAAACCAGGACAGAATACATTTCCACAAATATAAACATATGTATAGGTCACCAATTACTTCAACAAATAGTTATTGAGTACCTTTCAACTATGTGCTAGGTTCTGGGGTTACCAAACAAACTGAAAGAAAAAAAATCACCACCAGCAATAAACAACAAACAAACAAACAGAAAACCCCACTGCTGTTGAGTCGATTCTAACTCACAGTTACCCAATAGGACAGGTTAGATGGCTCCTTGGGGTATGTCAGTCTTTACTGGAGTAGATGGACTCATCGTTCACCCACAGAGTGACTGGTAGGTGTGAACAGCCGACCTTGTGGTTAATAATTCAATGCTTAACTTACTATGCCACCAGAGCTCCTTAACATAGCATCTAATATCAAATAATTTATGTTTCCTTGGGAAGAATTATGAAATAAATAAATGCATGCATATAATAATAAATGCTATGACTAAAAACAAGGAAGGATGAAGAAGCTAGAAAGTATTGGGATGGAGGAGGGCAATGTGCTATTTTGCACATATGGTGATCAGGGAGACATTTTTCTATGAAATGACATTGGAAGAGAAGCTCTAATGTAGAGAGGGAATGAGCCCTGTTTATAACTGGAGGAGGTTTGTTCCAGACATGAATAAGAATATGCACAAAGATCCTAAGGTGGAAACATTCATTTTTGCATGACCAAGCCGCCCATAGTCCTTGACAATTTGTCATTGTTCAACAAATGCTGCTAATTTAAATTGAATTATGTCATAGCCTAGAAATAGAAACAAGGACAGTTATAACTGCAGCCTTGTTATTTTATTAGCTTTCATTTTGTTTCCATATTGTCAAAGAACAGTGCTTATATTATTAAACTTTAAAATATAATCCTAATTTTAAAACATTATATTTAAGGTTTAAAATATGAAGTTGAAAATCTTAGTTATAATACTGATTGAAAGTTTATACTGGACTAGGCACAGAGTTCTTACTTTTTCCAAGGATTATCATTCATTATAGTGACTGAAGTCTGGAAGTTATCTTGCTGAGGTCTTATATCTAGTAAACAGTCTTCATCATAGCACCTTCTAAACTGGTGACATGAAAAGCAATTTGATACAATCACCCCTCAAGTGTTTTGGTAATCCTCCATTTTCTCCCTTATGATGAGACCGGGTTATTTGTGGATGAATAAGGTAGAAACTTGAATTATCTGACAAATACAATGGCTCACCAATGCTAAATAGTTCTACTTACTTCTAAAAAGGAGCATGCAAGGTTAAAAGTAAAATTTTCTAGGAAATCTCCTTGTTAAACAAGCTTCTAAGTGTCAATTTCAAACATTTTTATATTTTTTTTTTCAACAGAATATTTTGTTGGTGGTGGTGATGTGCCGTGGAGTCGATTCCGACTCATAGCGACCCTGTAAAGGGTTTCTGAGGCTGTAAATCTTTCTCCCATGGAATAGCTGGTAGTTTTGAACTGCTGACCTTGCGGTTCACAGCCCGATTCATAACCACTATGCTACCAGAGTATTTTGTTAGTTAGAATAAAATAAGAACGACTGTACATGAGCTTATTTTTTTCTGGGACACATGTAAGCATTGAACAGAAGAAGCTATGTCTAAAGTATCTGGGAAACTCATATCTACAACTGCTAAATTCAAGTGGCTTATCTCAGTTAAGGCTACTGATATTTTTATAGTATCTATTTATGCAATTGTGAGAGGGTGAGTCAAAAATTATCTGCACTCCAGTTATATTAAAATGCCCATCCACATCCACAGCTGATGACAACATTGAACGTGCATGTGAAATGATTCTGTCAAACAGATAAGTGACAGTGGATTCTGTGGCAAATAATTTGCAAATCAGTCATGGATTGTCTTGATATAATCCCTGACAAATTTGGATTTCAAGAAGTTTGTGAGGCATGAGTACTGAAACAACTCATGGAAGAGCATGAACAGAAGTGTTTGAACATCTGCAAACAAAATTGGGACAGATACTCGAAGGAAGGCAAATGTTTCTTTTAAAAAATTATTACTGGTGTCGAGACATGGATTCATCACTATGAGCCTGAGAGTAAACTGCAGAGTATAGAATGGAAGCATCCTTAATCGCACAGCAAACAAAATGTTTAAAAGTCAACCATCAACTGCAAAATTGATGCTTACAGTTTTCTGGGATCCTCAAGGGCCAATATTAGAACACTATCTGGAATCAACAGTGCTCCTTACAGTGAGAGTGCTCACTTAAGAGCTGAAGCGTAAACTTTAGATTAAATTCAGACAACGTGTGTCATCAGACCTTTGTTCACACTATTGACACTCTGCAAAAACTCCTTTATGTGGTGCTAAAGCATCTTTCCTATAATCCTCATCTTGCTCCATCTGACTTGTACCTGTTTGGTTCCCTGAAAGTATCCCTTCAAAGATGAAGATTCACCTCTGATGAAGAAGTGAAGACAGCGGTGCATTTGTGACTCACAGCTCAGCCTAAAACATTTTTGAATAAGGGAATATGAAAGCTAGTTGACAGATGGACACAGTGTATTGAAAAGCAAGGAGATTATGTTAAAAATGATGTTTTTGTCTTTTTAAAAAGTTGATTAAAATAAATTCTACAGCCATAGTATGGATAATTTTGGACACATCCTGGTAAAAGTGACATATTCAATATTTTTATGTTATTTTTAATCACTTACTTTAAGACACCCCAGATTTATTTGAGCTTCTCCTCAAATCTTTCCATGGCAATTTATCACTAAATCTAACTTTAGATGAACTTGACCGGGAAATTTTTCACTTAGAAAGTGAGTATATGGAGAAGGATGAAGGAAATCTCAAAGTGAAAAGGGTTGGTTTCACTCTGTGTTTGAATTTACCTGCCAACAATTTGCTAAAGTTCTCAATTTTACACCTTTTTCAGTATTTTGAAACCTCTTCCACCTATTCTTTCCTACACATCATTAACAGGTAACTTTGCCCCAAGTTTACTGAGAAAACAGAAATCATTTTTGGAGTTTGTAATCTCCAGTTCCCCCTTTGAGCCTGTCCTCTCCTCATTTCTGTTCACCAGAGGGGAGGAACTGTTCCTGTGGGATTACGCTGAATTCAACCCTTTCAAGATTTAATGACAATCTATAAATCAACAACTCCCAGATTAATATACCATGTCGTATCTGGTAGCGTAGTAGTTACGAATCGGGCTGCGAACCGCAAGATCAGCAGTTCGAAACTACCAGCTGTTCCGCAGGAGAAAGATGAGGCTTTCTGCTCCCATAGAAATTTACAGCCTGGGAAACCCTGTTACAGGGTCGCTATGAGTTGGAACCGACTCCACGGCACATAACAATAACAACAATAACAACACTCAGTCACTAAGAAGCTCTGGTAGCGTAGTAGTTATGAATGGGGCTGCGAACCTCAAGGTCAGCAGTTCAAAACTACCAGCTGTTCCACGGGAGAAAGATGAGGCTTTCTGCTCCCGTAAAGATTTACAGCCTTGGAAACCCTGTACAGGGTCGCTATGGGTCGGAACCGACTCCACAGCAAATAACAACAACAGCATACAATCTAGTTGTTTAAGCATATTGCCAGTGATTGATATCTTGCAAGCACTTCTCCCTCCAGAAAGTCCAGACAAAATTCTCTAATAATTCTCTTGCCAATCCTGCTCTACTTCTATTCCCACTATTCCATTCTCTATAATTGGCAACACCATCCCCTTAGGTGCTCACCCTGAACAACAAACAGTGGCTTTAATGCCCTTTATAACTCACCTCCAGTAACTAATAAACTATCAAACATTATTGCATAAGGTCTAGAAATTTCTCAAACCCAACACTATTCTCCCTCTCCTTCATCACAATGCTAGTCTAGGTAAAACTTGAAAAACTTCAACCAAAATTCTGACCATGTTACTCACCTTAATGAAACCATTTAATGGGTTCTCACATCCATAAAATAAGCTGTAAAACTTTAAATGGAGACTCTAAGTCCCATATGATCTTGTCCTTTTATCTGACTTCATCTTCATCTAACAGCACTCTCCTTCTTGTTTATCTTTAATTTCCCCTGATTTTTCTTTTTTTAATGGACAGAAATCCTTCCTAATATGTAGTCCACTCTGGCTAAATCTCTTTTCACTGACCTTCCCTTTCTGTGTTCCCTTTCCCATTACTTGCCTTGTCTTACAGCTATACACCTTTCAGTTATTGTTGTTGTTTAGTTGTTGTTAAGTGCTGTCCAGTTGGTTCTGACTCATAACAAGCCTATTACAGAGTTTCTGAGGAATGGCTGGTAGGTTTGAATTCCCGATCCTAAGGTTAGCTAGTCTAATGCCTATCCTATAGCTTCATACCAGAACTCTTTTAGGCCTGTGTTGAAATGTGGGTTTTGCAAGTTAGATACTCTGACACACCAATCTACAAGAATATAGGCTTTCATATATACTGAACTTCTTAACCTTTTCCACAACATTGTTTTATTCATTTTTTGTCTTTCTTGCACCTAGCATAGTAAATAAAAAGTGATCCATAGCTGGCTGTTGCATGAACAGATGAATATAAATACTTGACTGTTTATAAAGCATTTTTATAAACATTTTCTCCAATGTCAGTTAAGTAGTTAGTCCACCAATTTAAATCTGTTGTTCTATATGATACATATTCAAAATTGGCAATGGTAATAGAATTAACTTTAGAAACACACTTGCATATAATTTCATTATCTATCTTTCAGTA